AGCAGCAACTTAATCACAAATGACCTTTTTTTAGCCTTAGAAAACAAATTCTATTGGATGTTTCTTTACAAAAGGTCATTCGCTTTTTTGTTGTTTTTTTACAACTCAACCCGATCTGCCCATGTGCAGCTAATTTTCATACCGTTTCTGAATGCATTTTTTCCCTTGCTGGTGGAGCATAATTAACAAATTTTAAAGATAAAACAGTCAAACAGGGTTATCATTTTCCTGAGTGCAGGATTCCATGGGACCAACGGGAACTATATAGTAGGCCATTGATTGAGAACAAACGGCGTTTTCTCAGTACAACCACCCTACACACAGAGACACGCACACGGGCACAGACGCAGCTAACAAAAACAAAAAGCCTGGAAATGAGAGCACCAAATGAGGCCTTAGGTTTCTCAGACCATGAAAAATTCATAATTCCAGATCTTTACATGAAACTCTAGAAGGAATTAGGCCTAACAGCGGGAGACGCTGGGAATCGGTTTCAGAATATTTTGCTTTCTCTTTTTCATCTTTTCTCTAGCTCAGGCTCTCTCTCTCTCTCTAGTAAACATGCACGTTCACACAGACACAAATGCACACAGCAGAACACAAGCGCGCACACACAGGGATGCATTCTTATGTTCCATCCTGGGTTTTCCCCTGCGGAGAGTAAGATACTAAATGGTGCAAGTGGTGTCTGGCGTGACGCAGTTTGTCGACACAGCCTTTTGAAAACCGCACTTCTTCAGAAAGAAGGATTTCTTGTCTTCTTTCCTCAAAGAAAAACACGCCTGCAAAGTTCTCTGCTGCTACACAAACAACTCGAGTTCGGGCTCTTGATTCTCGAAATAGGTTGAGCTGTAATTGCTATGTGTTGATGTACTGAAGGTGGACGGCATTTTCACAGTGCAACATAAAATGTACTCAGTGAATAGATGAGCAGCCATGGCCCACAGGCAAGCAGGGAAAAAAAGGTGAGTAAAATCCATTCAGCAACTAACAGAAGACACTGACTGAAAGGATAGAGATAGAGAAAAGGTGGGTGGTAAAAAAAAAAGTCTCATCACTGGTCACACTTAAAGAGAGAGTCTATGAAACACACGGATGAGTAAGCAAGGATAAGATTTTTTTTTTTTTTTTTTTAAAGAAAAAGGCAGAGAGAGCAAGGGAAATCTGCCATCACTAGGCTACTGCTAGCAGCAGGAGGGTCTTCGATACAAAACAACCCCAGACACAGTCAAAGACTTCCTTTCACACACTCCCATGAACGCCTGTCCGCGCACACAAGCCATGCACATAGAGTATGCTCACACACACAACACACACAGAAAGCAAACAGAATGCTGCACTGTCTGAGTGAAAAAAAAATCTTTCTGTGTGTGTGTGTGTGTGTGTGTGTGTGTGTGTGTGTGTGTGTGTGTGTGTGTGCATATGGCAGTAAGTGTGACAGTCAGTGAGCTTGTCCAGTCCTAGTGGAGTGATCAAAGCTAGTACAAACCACCCAGAGAGATCTCCCTTCCTCATCCATTCATCCTTTCGCTTTCTCACTTTATCTCCCTCCATCTCTCTCTCACACCCTCTGATGCAGAAACGCCATCATATTTACCACGCAGAATCTGCTCAACCAATTGCACAGCGCTGGCTTGAGCAGCACAGCCAATCAAAGTGGCCTATTTAGTTCCAATAATTCCCAGCTGCCCCCCTACAAGCACTGAACCCTGGATGGCGGCACTACACCATAGGACAGGGACATAGCATAATGGGAGACAGCATGGGAGCCCTGGCAATATTATAATGCCGAATGTGCACACACACATGCAATGAAACGCCACATGAGCTCGGAACTCTATGACAGTGCCAAGTTCTCACAAACGCGCAAACACACACACACTCCACAGGAGTTCTCTGAAACCGTCCCCAACCTGCCAAGTTTATGAATGCACACAGCTCACAGGAGTCGTGTAAGCCCAACTTTACAGTTCTGTACCAACGCATTCACATACATATGCAACTACACACCAACAGTTCTCTGTAGCTATAGAGCACAGCTTTAAACGAAGTGAGAAAGCATCCTGAAATAGATCCGAATGTTCAGTTTAAAGAAACGTGTAAGCTGTAACACAACAAGCTGCCACACAAATGCACGAAAAGTTGAATTGTAGAACCTAGCTACACAGCACCTGAGTCATCGTGGGTTTTTTTTAAAAGTGGACTTCTGAGACTTTGTGCAGCAATCTTGACATCCATTCATTCCAGATCAAAATGTAAGGGGGCTTAGCTAATGGCTTTAAAAGGCACAACTACTTGCACTCAAGCTGGCATGAGAGGATTTCAACTAACACTCTCCTCTGATTGTACTGTATGTGCACATGTCAGTGTGTGCACAAGCGCCTTTGTGTATGAGAGACTTCTCCACAGCCCAATACACTTTCTACCGTGCTGCACAGCTAGGAGAGACGTCTGCAGGCCAGATTAAATGACTGAGAGCTAAAAAATGAATGAATAAATCAAAGGTTCATAATTAAAAGCTTAAGGGAGAACTAAATGTGAAGTAAAATAACTTGGCTTGAACCCTTTGTGTGAAATAAGTGTACTCAAAATGGATTTAAAAAAAAGAAAAAAACAAAACAAAACAGCTTCCCTCTATTTGAGAAACCTTTGTGATTCATTACGATCAGATTTGAATCAAAAGCAGCGCCAGCATCATTCCCACAAACACCATCATCCTGAACATCGTTAGTCATGACTTCAAAAACAAACTCTGCTATTAAACTCGCCAAAAACCACATATTCCACTGTGGAGTACAAACTAGAGGCCAACAGCTGGCCCTAAGACATTCAATGATGCATGAGCTGCAATGGACGGAAGAACTGGATGTATTTTCGTGTTCCATGTACACGGAACGATGTTTGGGATTTGAAGGAGGTTCTCTCCCACTGATCCACAGACAGGATCAGCTAGGTACACAAAGACACCCCCCCCCCCCTTCAGTTAAGTTGTGTTTGTGTGTTTTACCCCATTCAATAGAACAGCTAATGAAGTGACTCCTCTCACACAAGGAAACGACTTCAGAGACACGAGCCAAGTTGGTTGTGAACAGTGACAGAAAAGACACACACATAACAGCTACGCCAAATGGATGCGGAAGAGGAGAAGCAGAGGATTCAAAAGATTTTTTTTCTTTTAAATGAGGGCAGAATGCGAGAAAAACGACACTTTTCAGGACTGTGAAAATATACAAGTTTCTTCTCCCTTAAAACGCATCAACAGTTTAAGCTTCCAATTATCAGATTTTACAATGAAAGTTAAATTGAGCCGCGTATTGGCACCGATGTGCAATTTATCAAAGGTTGGTGAAACCCTGCTCAAATCGTGTCCCCTAAATTGAAATGTATCGATTTAACAGTAAACCAATGGAGAACGGTTATAATGAATGTTAGCGGCAGTTACTGAAAAGCTGTTCCCCAGGGCAATGAGAGAAAGGTGGCAGCAACATCATGTCCAATTACTACCCAGATTCGGCACAAAAACCTGAGGCTAATCTGTAATGTCAATACTAATGTATGCACTACATCCTTGTGTAGCATATGACAGTTACTCTAGGGAATACTCTAGAAGTTTTTCAAGTGGAATTATTAGTTTTATGGCAGAGGCTGAAGCTTTGCGTGAATTCTTTATAAGAAACTATAGGGTCATAGCTAAATACAAGACAAACATCGAGCAAGAGTGGCTTTAAGAAGGTCAGCTTTTAAAAAGGTGGTGGTGAATAAAGCTGTGTCGTAAAACAGCACCGGGGCTGGGCATTAATTCTTTTGGAGGAACATTAACAGGGCACAAGTTCTCCCTGAGAAGGTCAATAAGAATAAGAAAGCTGGAAAGATGCGTCTGGTTTCAGCATTTTCACGAATCCCACATGGTTCATGATAAATAAAAAAAAAAAAATCCTATCCAGGAGAGCATCCGGTTAAAAGTTGGGCTGCTTGCAGTGTATGACCCGCGACATTCCCCACAAACACCGGCCATAGTGGGTGGTTGCTTCTCACTCTTCAGAAATATCACTTTAATATCCCCGTTATGCTTCACTAGGGCGTATAGTAAGTAACGGCTCTAATACTCAGCACCGAAACATCTTTACATTATGTGTTTGCGCTATCTTGGATTCTGCTTAATCCTGCTGGGCTGTATTACAGTCCTCACTTTCAGCCCATTCCTTCTGCCTCCTTCCGATTGCGTTATGAGATCCATAAGACTGTAATTGCCTTTAACCTTCTGGCGGCGCAGTGTTCGTGACTTCTGATCGGTCTTTCAATCGGAGCAATGGACCTTCGTTAATTTTAACGAAGTACTGCGCAATTAATGCACTAGTCGCCCAATCAGAGATTCTCCAGCCCTGCCTGCCCTTCACGGTGTTTTCACATTAATGTAACTGCATCTGCGCATAGTTAATTTGTCCGCTCAGAACTGACACAGAACTGGCAGAAAATCCCCGCAATATTCTGTTCTGCCCGCGAGGTCCCACGATACTGCTCGCGAGTTTTGCAATTATATTCCTATTTATCTGGTTCTCAATAGTGGGTCAAGTGCACGTTTCTCTGTGTATTAAGTCTAATTTTAAGTCGTTTTTCTACACAGCAGGCTATCGTTTTCGGTCTTCCCGGATTAATTAGCCTATTAGTCGTATTTCCCTGGGAAGAAAAAAAAAGTGGGCTGTGAGTTTAGCTGCTTTTCAGCACACTTCAAGCGGCCAAGAAAATGCGCATACACAGTTTACACATTAAGATGCTGACCATATACTAAGCTAGTCTTCTACTCTAAGTCAATTTAAATGGAAATATGGCCAAAAAAAAAGTATATCTCCTTGTTGAGGGGATACTTCTCTGGGTCTACTAATTGACATGCCGCCCATACCACTTAAACGCACCTCGGCAGTGAAGGAGAAGGCCCATCACTTTCAAACGTGCAAGGTGTAATTAAAGCGCTTGACAGAAGACGCGCTCTCACGCCTTACCTTGAGCGACTCCTGCGTGTATTAGCACCAGGACAATCAGGATCCTCGGCGTGGCGCTCATTCTCACCAGGCTGGAGCTCCCGAGTACTATTCCACTTCTCTGTCCACTTTTACCCATTACAGGCAACGCGTAATACACATAAACTCCTCCGTCCACGGTGGGTGAAACGAGAACCCACCCCCCCCAACACGTCCTCCACAACAGGATCTGCTGGTTGATCAAACGTGTCCAAGACCAAAGCGGCTGGTGTGTAACTTCTAGTCCCGATGTCTAAGTCCGTCTCAAAAGGCGCGGGGCGAGCTGTGATAGCAGAGGTGGAAACAGCCACGGGCTCCCTTCACTCGTGTCAGCGGCACTGCTGCCTTGCCACTAAGCTCTCTCCGTGCGTTCTCTCCTTCTCCACCGTCTCTGTTTACGCAGAGAGAAATGCCACCGCCCTCTGGCTACCATGCGAGACCATGTTTCTCCCTCTCTTCTCTTCTTTGCTCCCCTTTCCCTGTCTTTCGTGAACGTACACACGAAAATACGAAATGCAGATAAAATCTCAGCTCACGCGTTTCACTTTTAATGACACGTCTGAACAGCGTTGTGCTCGTGGCAGGTGCGTACTTTCACTCTAAAGACGGTGAACAGACTTTAAAGAACCTTGTATTTCCTCCTAGATGCTAAAATTTAGGAGAGAGGGAGTAGTTTAACTTTTTTTTTTTACTTTCTGGGATTTTTTTTTATTGACCATCTATTGATTGCACGTGTACGAGTTTGTGCGCCTTCAAAATCTGTCAGTGTGGAGCAAAGCAAGGATAGGGTTTCTCGAGAGCTTAGTTTACCGACTAATGCCTGCCCCCTGACGGCCACGTCCGTTGGACCTGCATGAAGACATATCAGTGAGAGGTATAATTCAACAACAGCTTCTTTTATTGCTATTGGGTTAAACAGAATAGATGAATTATTTGATATTCGCAAGGAATAACTGATTGTGCCTGTGACTGTTCGCTTTTCCCTCATTCTTTTGACCACATTTCTGCCCCTCTAGTGCCAGGTGCGTGTACCATAAATCCAAGTGTTGTTGTGACCCTCGGACTCAGTTGCTCTTTGAACTACTGAACATCCACTTCTTCGTGATGTGCATCATCTTAAAGCAGACTACTAGAAATAAGTGATCACTTGCCATAGAGACGAGCACAGGAATTTATTCAAAAATGAATGCCTGAATGTAAGATTTTATTAAAAGCAAAATGAGAGACCGTTCACCTTAAAAGGAGAACTCCTTCAGTGCCACTTCCCATAGATGTGCTAGAGAATAATGAACTTTCAAATAAAATTATGCAGTAGCAATAACCACTTGAATTTTGCACTGCAATCCTTTAATAGTTCTACATTTGCGGACTTAAGTGTCAAAACTTTTTACAAGGCTACATCTAGATTCTTATTCCATTTTGTCAAAAGTACAACCAGGTATCATGTGCATCTTTAAGCACTATATGTAACCAGTGTCACCTTAAAGTAGCTGAATAATAAGGAGGAAAAATGCTTAAGTCACTAACAGACTCAAAATAAACTCTACACACATATCAGTATGTGTGTTTCCAGCACGCACTCACACACACACTTACAGCTACCATAACTCTCGACAGTGTTGCTGTGCAGTCATTTGAGCAGCACAGCCTGGATCATGCATTGTAAATGGCAATAGTAAAATATGCGCTTGGTGCCATTTGTCACCACAGCAGCCCTGCAGCTCAGTGACTACCAGTGGAAGTAGCTGCTACCCACAGGGACCTGTAAAAGCCTTTTTATTCTGCCACTTTATTGGGAATGGGAAAGCAATAAGTTACCCAAGAAACATATGGCACACTTAGATATGGATCGGGACTTACCCCAGCAACAGTCAATGGGAAAGGGATTCTCACAGTTCCATGTGGCCGTACAACACATTTATATTTTGTATACTCATAGTCTGCCAGTGGCTTAAATGTGTAAGGAGAGTATTACGGCAGTTTTGGCAGCATCTCAGTAAATCTGGTAACATTTGCCTCTTCCTCAAAATTTCCTTTGGAGCTACGTTCTCTCAGATTTATTCATGAAAACGTGGAGGCCACCAGCAGTATATGTTTTGATTTCCCTCATTCTTTTGACCACATTTCTGCCCCTCTAGTGCCACCACTGCGTGAAGATGAAGGTGCGTGTACCATAAATCCAAGTGGTTTTTGTTTTTAAAAAAAGAGGTATTATTGGATTCCTTCAAGTCAAGTTGAAAGCATTGTGATGTCAGCCTTGCCCATACTGGATATTTAATCATTTTGGCTTTAACGACAAAGTTTAAGAATTGATACAGCCCTCTTTTTTCCCCATACTTTCAAAAAAAAAACCAAAAAACAAATATAATCCTATTGAGATGAGGTTTTCTCAAACTCATATGGATTTCTGATTTTAAGTTTTAGTCTGTCACAGACAAGATAAATTGACTCAGGACCCCATTTTCAGGAAGCACAAACAAATAATAATAATTATAATTTGCAGTTAGTATTTCTCCAATAGGGGGCGCAGCAACAACAACCGTGTTTGATTTAAACGAGGCTCAATCATGTCAGCTTGTCTTACAGGCTGTGAATATTTGGACCATACTGAAGGTTTCAGTTTTTTTAAATGAAAAACCTGATTTAATTTGTTGCAGCCACTTTTACTTTTAACTTAATTAGATGCAACTGATATAACAAATGTCCCAGATTGCTGCTTGTACTAAATTTTGTGACTGTTATTTCACTTTGTGAATAACTCTTCCACTTAAGATGTAAGAATTAAGACTGTATGTGTGCATGCATGTGTGCGTGTGTGTGTGTGTGTGTGTGTGTGCACGCCCTGTCAGCCTCAGGGCCTAAATCTGTAGCTCCTACAGGACTTTGTCGCATTGTCCCTGTCTCTTTTTTTTTCTTTGAATGAGAGGATCATCAAAGACAATCCAACATCACTATATTCATGTTTTTCATCATTACTGAACTAACGACACTGTGTCTAGAAAGTTGAAGACATTTCCCATTGGTTGCCTGCGCCTGTAACCCACAGCATCAAAGCGGCTCCGATAATGAGAGCGGGAGACAGCGCTGAGGAAGACTGGAGATGATATCTTGATAATCCAGAGAAGAGGCTCAAAGAAAGGTGCTTTACCACGTAGAGCCTTAAAAAACAATCTGTTTTTAACATCAGTACTGCTTTTAGTGTTGTATACTGATATGTGCGACTTTCTAATTAGTACCAGGCATTTTCAGTCTATATTTTTTCATGGTTCTTAAAGAAGAAAGGTTCCCCTTTTAGCGGCTACTTAATTGCTTTTGCTGCTGAGAGTTAGATGAACAGATTGATAAGACTCATATCTGGCCAAATGCAGTAACTCCTTAGTGTCTTGTTGTCCCTACAAAGGTTGCCTGGCAACTAAAGAAGACTACAAAATGGTCCCTGTAAAACAACAACTTGAGGTCTTTATATTTGTGCACAGAGAAAACAATCAACAAATGCTACTGGTGTTTAGTCAGTGTTACTTTTTCATAGTAGGTGGTTTCTAGTCTCCATTGGCTGCAGTTTCATGTAGAGTGAAAATGATTGGTCGTCTTGTGGCTTAATGGAGCTTGCAAAGAAAAGCGTCTGGACTTCTTTAAGTTGCTTGAAGACGTTTCACCTCTCATCTGAGAAGCTTTTTCAGTTTTAAGGTCAAATGGCGGAGAGTCCCAGATTTAAACCCAGTGGGAATATCCCCCCACAGAGGGACAAAAGGACCCCTGATGATCCTCTAATCACATGAGCCAAGGTGTGAAAACGGGTGTGGGTCCCAATCAGCCAGGGTTTCGGGTAAGCTCATTGTGAAACCTGGCCCCACCTTATCATGCGATTTCCAGAGGTCAGATGGCCCAGGATGTGAGTGTACGTTAAGGCGTCTGGGGAGGGAACTCAAAACTGGATTGACTGCAGACAGTTGGTGTCGTAAACCACCGCCTCTGTTCAAAGATGGTCGCTCACAGTGGACATAGATGGCTTCTTTCACTCCTCTTTCAAACCATCTGTCCTCTCTGTCCAAAATGTGAACATTGGCATCCTCGAAGGAGGACCATCTGACCTCTGGAAATCGCATGATAGGGTGGGGCCAGGTTTCACAATGAGCTCACCCGAAACCCTGGCTGATTGGGACCCACACCCGTTTTCACACCTTGGCTCATGTGATTAGAGGATCATCAGGGGGTCCTTTTGTCCCACTGTGGGGGGATACTCCCACTGGGTTTAAATCTGGGACTCTCTGCCATTTGACCTTAGAACTGAAGAAGCTTCTCGGATGAGAGGTGAAACGTCTTCAAGCAACTTAAAGAAGTCCAGACGCTTTTCTTTGCAAGCTCCTTTGACTACGATGACCTGGATGACTGAGAACCTTCACAGACACCTGGCTTAACATTCAAAATCCCTCCCCCAAAACTTTCCTGACATTTGAATTGGGGTAGAGGTGATGAGATTGTTTATCTCTGTCTTGGTCTTTTGAAAATTTATGAAATTGACAATTCTTTGAGCTCACTTCATGCTTCATGCTATTAATGAGCATGAAGTAGCATGCAAAAGTTTTTACTCCATATACATGCAGAATAAGAGCCCGATCTTTGATCCTCTGTGCCGGTTTACATATCGTGTGCGTGAGAGTGTTTGCATGAAGGTTTATGGTAAATTTGTATTCATGGTAAATGTGTAAACAGAAAGTGATGGTTGGGATTTAGAAAAATAAAATTTGAGGTTCTTCTCTTTTCACCAGGTGCAAAGGTTTCGTGATGAGCAGCCAACAGCCAGCATGCAGCTTGTGAACATTTCAGTTTGAGTGGTAATATTGACTGTGGACTTTCATCTTTCAACCAGTCTAGTTTTTCCCGGGTAGAGCATGGTGTTCACTTGTTTTCTGTCATAATATAATAGGCTACAGAAAACAAGGGGGTGTCTTTTATAAAAATCCTTTTCCAAAAACCAACCCATGGCAACTGCTTGACAGTTTCTACCTCATTAATTGAAGACACTGGAGGAGAAACTCAATTCCTTGAAAAAACTTAAAATTGCAATAAGCTCCGTGCGACTCTTGCACTTCATCTCTATAGCTATAGAGGTATAGCAAACATGCTCTCATGAGTGCCATAGCCTGTGCTGTTTCAATTGTATGTTACAATTGAGAGCAAGCCCCCATGAGGGTGACTCTGTATAATCTCTTTAAGCAGTTACATAATGGCCCCCAGTTCATGTTTTAATCAGCGAATAGATGGCTGCGCCCAGGGATGAATAATCACATCTATAACTTTCTAATCTAATATCCAGCTACATTCAAGTGGATTAGAGAAGAGCGGCAAGGGAAAGGAGGAGTGCAGGTGGCACACCTAGATGTGAGTGTTTGCAGGAGGATTTATGTTTTGTGTTATTTGGATAAAGAGAAAATTAGATTGAGAAATTGCTTATGTGTATTCTCCAACTGTCACTAGCAAAACACAGTGACCGTAATATCAGACCTTTCGGATCGCTTTTGATTTCAGTTGTTTTTTGGCAGGTTGCTTGGTGATGCGTACTGACAGTCTCATCGCCTAGATAGCTCTGT